TTTACATTATTGCAGCTATTTTTGCAATGCTTATCTTGACAGGTTATTTGTTGGGATTTCAAATGCAGTAGAATCTGTGTGTTCATCTGTATACGTGGCGCATATGTTTGATAAGTGCGCAGCAGGTGTGTCTCTGCTTTGAGGAACACTGGTGGAAATGGAAAAGGTTTGACCGGCTCTTATCAGCAACAGGCAGTCCATAACAACAAACCAGGCAGCAAAATAGGTTTTTAAAAAGCCCACCGGTTAACCTGCGCTGCACGTCTCTGCTCTGTCTCTGCTCAGGAGATCACACAAGCTGCTGGACTTCTTACCTGTCGTCACTCAGCACCCACGGAAGCTGAGCACATGTATGCTCGGATTCAGCCTAGATTAGCGGGGGGCTGATCAGAGCAGAAGCAGCGGTGGTATCTCAGGAAGTAGCTGCATGTGGGAATGTTGTCTGAGATTTACATAAACAAATCCCTCATTATCAGCAAAGGCCACCAAGGCCCGGCTTCCCACCTGTTGTCAAATCCCCTCATCTTCTGCAGCCAATTTTTGGGAGACTCGCACACACAGTCCTGGAGGAATCAATCATCTTAAATGTCAGCCATGCAAATTGGGTCTGTCCCAAACTGGAGCCCATTCTGTGAGCGTATGCAGAGGTTTCCAATCAGTCATGTTGGCTTCTTCTAGGCAGAGACCTAATATTTTTCTTTTTCAAACTCAGAACAACATTACAAACCTTACTTTAGAGCTGGGATAGGCAGTAGTGACATAGTGTGTTCTCTTTAAAATCCTAACAGCAACCAATAAATCAAATGCTCTGACAAAATAACTTTTGTTTTTTGCATATGCCTCAGATTCATTTCCTGCCAGAGATCGGTCTGCCTGCTTCATTCAGAGTTTGCTTTTGGGTCTTCAGGATCGCTAAGCATTAACACCAAATTTCATGTGCTCACTGCACAGCTTCTAACGTTACGTGTGTGAGGGGAGGCTTCTGTGCTTTCAACCCATTCTGTCCCTCGATGGTCTCGGGACACATTCAACAGCAATTCACTTCTCACTAACTGCAGCAGCTAACTTAGTGAAAGCTGCTTCATTTCTAAATATAGGAATAGTCCTTGTAGAAGCGATCATGACATTGTGGCTAAGTGTTTTCTGTTTCCTACCCACATGCTGTGCACTCATCCTTGATTTGGTAGGTCAGCAGGTCAGCGGGAAACCTGTCCATTGTTTACAGGCCGCATTCACATCATATTGTTCAGACCGTAAATGTGCAGCTGAATGAGAAAAATCATTTGCACCATCATCATTCACTGGCAGTTTACATCTAAATAAAACCCAATATCAATATATATAACTAATTTAAATAGTACAATGCATTTCTTGTTTAGCTTATTTATCTGGTGTTATCTAATGTGTGTGTGTGTGTGTGTGTGTGTGTGTGTGTGTGTGTGTGTGAATCTCCCAGACAGTGATGGGGCCACAGCAGTTCTTCTGTCTCAGTTTCACAGCTCTGTCAGCAGTGAAGCTGCATTGTTATTGCTGTCTTATCCACCTTCAGCCAGCATCACTGCAGCACCAAGAAAAAACTTTTTTAAAAAACACTGATTAAAACAAACAAAGCCAGCAGTGGAGGTAGCAAACTTCAACAATGTCTCAACACTTCTATGTCAGAATAACAGGAGCTTTTCCTGTTTAATCCCACTCTGCCAAAACTGTGTGAACGCAGCATTAGTGTCCTCTGCAGGACAGAGGATTGGTATTCACTTGTCTTACTTTAGTTTTATGTATCAGAGTTTGTTTGTATCAGTGTTTTTTTATTAAAAAAAAAAAAAAGCATTTTCATGGTGCTGCAGTGATGCTGGCTGAAGGGGGATAAGACCGCAATAACAATGCAGCTTCACTGCTGACAGAGCTGTAAAACTGAGACAGAAGGACTGCTGTGGCCCGGTCGCTGTCTGGGAGGTACACACACACATACACACACACATACACACACACATACACACAGCTGCAGACATACTGACACATACATTCTTGTAAGCACAGATGCACAAAAATTGCACATCCAGACACAACCTCACCACACACACTATCTCTCTCTATCTCACACACTCACAAACACACACTTGAGAATGTCAACTCGTCTGGAAGAGATTGACAGTGACCAGGGCTACAGGATCACACTCTCACGCTCCCTTGGCGTGGGACTCTGACAGCCACTACCAGCCACAGTGTGTGGGCATATGTTCATTTGTGTGTGTTACAGTGAAACTACTCAGGGACATGCTTTACCATCTGTCTATCTGTATATTTGTTGTGTAAATGTGTGGCATGTGGCATAGCGTACTTTTGCTGTCAGCGGATGATCACAGTGACTTGAATTCCGGCTCTGTGACTGAATTTTGTTTGGAGAAGCGATTTGTCACTCACTATTGAGGAACTACTGTACTCCTGCCAATAGGATGGAGGAAAAAGACAGCTTAAACAACTATAATCTGACTGTGTAAAGCCTGAACTGCTCTCAACTGTCAAATCTTCATTTTAAGACTCTGAACATGGTGAAAGGCTTCTCCTTAATAAATGTGACAGCTGTTTTTACTGAGGAATTCTCAGTTTGCACATCAGGAACACACACATGATGGTTTATGGAAATGAGTACGGTGTGAAAAAATCCCATGTGTCAATCCTTTTTGATGTTTTGAACTGCGAGTCACTGCGAGTGTGCAATTGCAGCCTGTGAGACCATATTTGTCTTGGTGACAGAGCCTCACGGAAGAGAAAACACATCACAGAGGCAAACAAGGAGACTGTCTCTGGCCATATCTGCCAGGAAAGTCAAACAAAAGCAAGCAGAGGGTGTGTGTATGTATGTTCAAAAGTTTGTTTTTAATATTACAGTAACTACAAAATAAAATATTTGCCCACTTCCTCCACCTGAGGCTACACAAAATGATTCACTGTCACTGTATTAGAGGTCTCCCAATGCCTGAAAGTAGCAAACACACTCTCTAGTCAGCTTATGTGCTCTTGGTAAACAATGTAAAGAAATACAGCATTTAAAAACCAATAAAAGTTATAGTAGTCATCAGTAAATGTACAGTAAAACTACACATGTGTATATACAAGAAAATATACGAACCATATCTGAATGCAAAGTGTAGCGGTATGAGATCAAAGATCAAGATGTTAACTTCCCATTAAGGTTAGTTAATTCAATGAATTTCATTTTTCACTCAACACACCCTTGATACTCAGTGACGCACAAGGGGATAGAACCCACGCTTCTAATCAATATTATGAACTTCCCCTCTCCACATACACAGATATTAATAGGACGGACAGAGTTCACACTGCCACCTCATATTAATATTCTTTACCCTTTACCCAGCAGATCGGCTGTTTTATTTTTTCACCATCAACGTGTTTTCTCACAGGACAAACAAGTCTCAGTTCCTTCACTTGTGACCTTTTTAAACTTGTCAGGCCCCATTTGTGATCTGTGCTCAGATGTGCGATATTGATTTTAATGAAGTGCATTAATTGTGTTGGGCTGACAGGAGAATTAAATGAAGATGGTTGAAGTTAAAGATGGAGAGTCTTCTAAACCACTTGTCTGTGACTCAGCTCAGAGGTTCAATGAAGACTTTTAATGAGCTATCTAACAACGTATAAGCACTATTAGAAAGCAGCTTTATTGCCGTGCGGAAACTGAATGTGGAAAAGTTCAAAACAGCACATTTCAGAGACCAAAAATAGACATTTAAGCACTTAAACCAACTTGAACTACTTTCTTGGGCACTTGGAGGGCAGCGGAAACAACACTGACATCACCTTTTAAGCTGCTTTAAAGAACTTTTTCTCCCAGTTTTTTGGACCTAAACCATTCAAATCTCCTTCTTGTGCTTATCATTCCCAACATCCGTAATGAACATATTGGGGAGTGTTAACGGATCTGATGGTCAGGACTTTGCCCTTTACTGTGCATCCATCAGAGTTTTCTGAAAACTTGTGGTAAAACACAAAAGCAGTCCTGTATAAGCACAAAACTGATGCATGCCAACAACAGGTGGATCCGCTAATCACCATCCCAGCAAAAACACGCACATCTGCCTGCTCAGCCAGTGATCAGCTGCGTTACTGTACAGTCTAATTGGTGCCTGACTAAGAAATGCAAATTCATTAGTTAGAGGGGGAAATGTATTTAAAAAATTGAAGAAATTGTGCTTTAACCTATGCAAAGCTCTTGAATCAGTTTGTTGAAGCATTCAGTCTCTAAATTTTGCAACTATATGACCTTTTTTTCATCCACATCACATTCATTTTGATTCCGTCTTTGTTTTTGTGACGCCCTGTTTGTACTGGCTGCGGAGCACTTTGCAATAAAGATTCACTCTCCTGTTGTGTTCTTCTCTTTTTTAAACACAGTCTGTATGTTATCCATATGTAACAAAGGGGATTGCACATAATATAATAATTGCTGGGACCGTGGAGACTTCACAGATCATGTTGTCAGTTTCCCACAGGTTTCCCACAATCCTCAGGAACTTCACACCTGACTGGGTGGTAATTCAGCCCATGGACCCAGCTTTCAGCTATGATTGGTCGCTGACCTGTGACCCATGATGTCACATGACATGGACATTATATAGCTTCACATAAGTAAACTGCACAGGACGGTTAGCTTTTGTAAATGGTCATGAACTGACATGTTTTCCACTGAGGTTTATTGTTATGATTGTTTCATGGTGAAGGTGAGGTTATTGTGTAACTGTAGTTCTCAGCCACATCGCTAAATTGGTAATGTTATGCTCTTGCTTCACTGTGCTTTCTTTGTCTGCAAAAGGTGTGTCTGTGCTCGTACATGTTGAACACACGACGCAGATCACAGAGGCGCATGTGCGCGCACACACACGCTCTCCTTATTGCACACACACATCTCTGTCCTTTAGTTTAGTGCATCTAAGTTATATTTCATATTGTGCGTTATCTGTTAAATAAATGCTTGTGGATACACATGCTGGTTTCTTTAATGTAACATATAGTGAATATATTGCCAACCTCTTCTATGTAGAACTTCAAATCCTTCAACCCACTAGCTATTGGTGATCACTTTGGTTATACTTATTTAATTATTAATCAGTTCCAAATAGATAGTTAGGTTTATTTTACTAAATTAGGTAATAGGCTATCAATTTGCTCTTAACAGTGCTGCCTCAAGGTGAAGTTAACACACGTTAAATAATAATAATAACAATAATAATAATACTTCATATTACTATTGATGCCATTTAAATGTTATTTCCCAACATAATAAACCATTTAATACAGAAACAGCAACAGACTGGAATGTAAGGATGGAACCACACACTGTTGTTATCTTTCGGCGCATGATAACCAATAAAGATCGTGCCGAACAGATGTGTTGAATAAGATAATGCGTAAGAAATATTGCCAGTGTGAGATAAATGTAATCAATAGGGATTTACCGTCTGTGTGTAGTGTTTGTGAAACAATCAAAGTCTCTGTGGTGACATTAATCACACAGAGAAAAGCCACTGATTCCGGATGTCTAATAATAAAAGGTGCAGCAGATTGTAACTCATGTATTGCCGTTTACGGTGCATAATGAAAACGGTTTGTTTACAGTGTGTGTGAGCATCTACTATACCTGGTGGATTCAAATAAAGCATTTAAAATGTGTGTGACAGTGTGGTGTACCCAAGCATGACCCCATCTCCACTTGTAAAAGTCATTATGCCGTTAATGGCAGCACAGCTCTTCACAGCATCTCTGCTCCTGGTTCAATTATGGATCAGTTCAGTCACTGCATGACCCAAACACTTTTTCACCTTCAAAAAAACAAAAAAATTCCACAATGAAAACGGAGAATGAAGCAGCTGGCTGAGAGGAACAAGGACGATTACTGGTTCCTCGCTCCCTGTCTTGTCATATCTCCCAATATCCCTAAACGTCATCATGTTTTCTACTTGAGAGGAAGAAGAGGAAGATAGCAGACTAGTGATGGTGGTTGAAGGTGAGAGAAGAGTACAAACGTGTCCCTTCTTTTTCCACCTACTTATACATTAAGACCTGATAAGGGAGAAGAGGATGAGGAGGAGAGGTGGACAGAAGTATGAAGGATGGGCAATGGTCTGATTGTCCGGGTTTTAGAAAAAGAAGCCACGTCTTCATCAAGTCCTTCACTCGTACAAGCAAATGATCCACACAGAGACAAGAACCAACGCTTTTCTTCTGTTTTTCACCACGGAGTAAAAGTTCAGATGACCCCATAGTCCCTGAGAGACTTGAGCAGCACAGTGTCCTTGACGTCGCTGAAGACCCTGCGGATGCTGTTGGTGTCTGTGGCGCAGGTAAAGTGCGGGTAGAGAGTCTTCCACTCCTCCCTGTTGTCGCGGTTGATGGCTTGCTGCTCGTACAGCTTGCGGATGTAGTTCTTGGCGTCCTCGGGGTCTTGCCTCTTACCTGTCATAGAGATAGTGAGACAGAAGTGAGGGATGGGAGTGGACAACAAAAAGGCAAGAGATGACTTGAGGTCTGGACTACAGATGAAACAATTAGTCAGAACATGAAAATGAATCAGAAGCTAATTTGATAAAGATTTTTTTTTTTCAACCAAAAATACCAAATGATCGAAGTTCCAGCCTTTCTTTGTCTTATGTGAGAGTAAATCAGGTGCTTTGGGTTATTTGGACTGTTGTTTAGAGTGAACAAGCTATTTGAAAATGTCAGAAAATTGTAACAGGCGTTTTACACAATTTTCAATGAATCAAGACAATTGTTAAATTAATCAGTAATGAAAAGAATTTGACATAATCTCAACAATTTTGTCACTGGAGGAAAGAGTTCTGCTTTGTTAGATAAACAGCAGTTTGCAGCTCAGAAGTGCAAACTGAATGTAAAGATGATTACAGGCAGTTGTCATAAAGTTTATTTGGAGCATCGCAACATCAATACATATTGGCAACGGAGACAAAATTAGGAGTCCAATTTAGTTGGGCTGCGACTAATAATTATTTCTATTATTGATTTAGTCCATTATTCTTTCAATTAATTGTTTAATCTAATCTAATGCAAAAAATCCAAAATAAGTAGTGCAAAATTCCTATCAAGAGTTCCCAAAGCAAAACATAGTGCTCAAACAAGCTATTGAAATAGAGTTCCCCGGACTGCATTTTATTGATAAAATCTATTCATAGTGATAATAGACAAGTAGGCATATTAATCAAATGAAAATGATCATTAATTACTAAATTAAACAGAAAAAAAGCTGCTCATCCAACATTTGAAAAGCAGGAAGCTGTCATTGTTTAATTTTTTTTATAAATGACTCAATTAGTTTTGTGCCAACTGACAACTTCACATATATGTAGATCATTTCAGGGTTAGTCTAATTCACCAAGCGTCAACATGGCATAGGACTGCAGTGCTACTTAACAACAGAAGCCTTCATATGTGGTTACAGCAGCAGTAAAAAGGGCCACACACTCTCCACACAGGAACACGGCAACATTAGCAGCCTGTGCTGGGAACCGCACGGAGTTAACGTTAAGGTTAAATGGACATAAAGGAGCTTGACCCTGTATGAGTCATTACTTTACCCTGCTAATGCTGATGGTAAAACACAGTGGGCACACTGCAGACACACACACAATCCCTTGCAGTCATCAATTCCCACCTTGTGCACGCACATCTCACACATGTGCACCTGGGGGTTTGTGGGGGATGCAGTATCTTCTGTGGTTGTCATGGGTAACAGATGGAGAGAGGGTGGTGGGGTGGTGGACTGTTAGCGCAACGCTCTACAGCCTTTCACATCAGCAAAGTTACAGGCTGCAGCCACATCACACACTGTGTGTAAGTGTGTGTGTGTGTATGTGTGTGTGTGTATGTGTGTGTGTGTGTGTGTGTGTGTGGTGTGTGGAGTGAGAGCAAGACAAAGAGAGAATGAAGACAAAGTTTGCTAAAAAAACAAATGATTGCTGGCTTTGCTTACTCCAGGACAGCGATGGAGGGGAGAACCTTTCTAGTTCAGAGTCACTGTGGCTGAAATGTCTTTGCAAATGATTTTTTTAAATTATACATTATTTCCACCGGGTGCAGTAGGATATGATGAGATAGCTGCAAGCCCAAAGCAAATTGGACGGAGGCAAAACAACATCACAACCCTTTTTTGCTCTCGGACATGCATCTGTCCACACTGTGATGAGAACACACACATGCAGACAACTAGCTGCAAATGTGTGTATTAATGGCTAGAAAATCTGCTACTGACCAGGCTCCGTCTCCAGGGTTTCCCTCAAATATGTTAGAATTTTTTGTTTTATTTGTCTGAACAGCAACTTTGAGTTTCACCAAAGTGTTAAATTTGGTTTAGACATTTCAAACCTGGTTTTATTGTGTCGGTGTTCCCACCATGAGTGTCCCCAGTCACAAAACTACAGCCTCGCAAACACACATACACACTCACAAACACTTCCATACACAGACATGCCTAAACACTAGAACAGGTACGCACAAACTTGTTTTATCCATTTCCGTTTTACTACATGTTTGTATTTCATCTAAAGTGCAGAAACGAATGAGTATTTTCCTCATTGATTATCTACTCTAAAGTGTTGGACAAACTGAGAATATTACCTGCTTGTAGAAGAAAAACAAATACACACATTCATCCGTAGCTTACCTGTGAAGCTGGGGAAGTATTTTTGCAGGTCTGAGGTCTGGATTTTGTCACTCAGGATGTCAGTCTTGTTGAGGAAGAGGATGATGGAGGTGTTGCGGAACCAAGGAGAGTGGATGGTGGTGTAGAACAGAGCCAGACTCTCCTGCATGCGATTCTGAGGAAAGAGACAGAGTTAGATATTATAGAGAGGCGGCAGCACTTTAGCTCAATAGGTAAATAAAAGAATTACACCAATGAGTTTTTGAGAGTTGATTTGGACTTGAAAAGAAAAAACACTAGTTCTCAGGGATGGCAAGATGGATATGGATGGCTGAGGATGAAGCAGAGAGGAAGCATTCCTTTAAAGAGATGGTGGGGGGGGTGGGGGGATTTGGGGTCTGGGGCACATGAGCCACTGTGGAGGTTAATGAATGCATTGGGAGGCTGAAAAGTGGCTGGGAGAGATAAACAGCTTAGTGACAAGATGGGTGGGAGGACGGGCGACAGAAGCTGAGGAGAGAGAGAGGGGACAGGTTTTCTTGTGAAATAGTGAAACCTGCTGGTGGACAGATGAAATGACTGAAGTGAGCACAACGCTGACATGAGAGACACAATAGAAGACGGATGGATAGATGGCATTGTACTTTACTGAAGTATTTATATTTTATGACAGTTTATACTTGTGCTACTCCACTAAATTCCAACCAACAGTCAAAAATGCAAAGATATGCAGTTTACAATTATATAAAAACAGATAAGAGCAGCAAATGCTCTCTTTGGAGAAGCTGAAATATGTAGAATATTTGGAAGTTTTTGCCTGAAAAACTAAAACAACTGACTACAACAATGAACTGATAATCAAAACAGTTGCTGATAACTGATTAATAGTTCAAGCTCTACATTAATATAATATATACGATAAATAAACACTCTAAAAACATTCTGCAAAACGAGTACTTGTACTATTAATACTTTAAGGGCCAGATCTACTAAAGGTTGCATGAGTTAAAACGTGTGCAAACTTGATATCACCAGCAAATTAACACGTAAGCTGATCTACTAATGGTGTGCACAGACAATGATGTCTTCCAAAAGTGCAAAATAGCACCTGTTGTTCATTTAATACTTTTTCCTTAATGAATATGCAATTTGGGGCATTTCAGTTTTATTGTGGGAGGATAACATGCAAATACCTTTATTTACTATACGCAATGTGATCTACCAAGCCTAAACGCAATTTCATGTGAATGCAACAGCATCTGCATTTAATACAGTGAGGAAAATAAGTATTTGAAAACCCTGCTATTTTGCAAGTTCTCCCACTTAGAAATCATGGAGGGGTCTGAAATTGTCATCGTAGGTGCATGTCCACTGTGAGAGACATAATCTAAAAAAAAAATCCAGAAATCACAATGTATGATTTTTTAACTATTTATTTGTATGATACAGCTGCAAATAAGTATTTGAACACCTGTCTATCAGCTAGAATTCTGACTCTCAAAGACGTGTTACTCTGGCTTCAAAACGTCCACCTCCACTCCATTTATTATCCTAAATTAGATGCACCTGTTTGAGGTCGTTAGCTGCATAAAGACACCTGTCCACCCCATACAATCAGTAAGAATCCAACTACTAACATGGCCAAGACCAAAGAGCTGTCCAAAGACACTAGAGACAAAATTGTACACCTCCACAAGGCTGGAAAGGGCTACGGGGAAATTGCCAAGCAGCTTGGTGAAAAAAGGTCCACTGTTGGAGCAATCATTACAAAATGGAAGAAGCTAAACATGACTGTCATCTCCCTCGGACTGGGGCTCAATGCAAGATCTCACCTCGTGGGGTCTCAATGATCCTAAGAAAGGTGAGAAATCAGCCCAGAACTACACGGGAGGAGCTGGTCAATGACCTGAAAAGAGCTGGGACCACCGTTTCCAAGGTTACTGTTGGTAATACACTAAGACGTCATGGTTTGAAATCACGCATGGCACGGAAGGTTCCCCTGCTTAAACCAGCACATGTCAAGGCCCGTCTTCAGTTTGCCAATGACCATTTGGATGATCCAGAGGAGTCATGGGAGAAAGTCATGTGGTCAGATGAGACCAAAATAGAACTTTTTGGTCATAATTCCACTAACCGTGTTTGGAGGAGGAAGAAGAATGATGAGTACCATCCCAAGAACACCATCCCTACTGTGAAGCATGGGGGTGGCAGCATCATGCTTTGGGGGTGTTTTTCTGCACATGGGACAGGGCGACTGCACTGTATTAAGGAGAGGATGACCGGGGCCATGCATTGCGAGATTTTGGGGAACAACCTCCTTCCCTCAGTTAGAGCATTGAAGATGGGTCGAGGCGGGTCTTCCAACATGACAATGACCCGAAGCACACAGCCAGGATAACCAAGGAGTGGCTCTGTAAGAAGCATATCAAGGTTCTGGCGTGGCGTAGCCAGTCTCCAGACCTAAACCCAATGGAGAATCTTTGGAGGGAGCTCAAACTCCGTGTTTCTCAGCGACAGCCCAGAAACCTGACCGATCTAGAGAAGATCTGTGTGGAGGAGTGGGCCAAAATCCCTCCTGCAGTGTGTGCAAACCTGGTGGAAAAACTACAGGAAACATTTGACCTGTAATTGCAAACAAAGGCTACTGTACCAAATATTAACATTGATTTTCTCAGGTGTTCAAATACTTATTTGCAGCTATATCATACAAATAAATAGTTAAAAACATTCATGCCAAAAAAAGCAAATTTCGTTTCGACCTGACTTCTTTTCTCTGTGAGATGGAAGAATTTAGATAGTTGCATGGCGCTGCGGAGAACCCCCAGCTGCAGTAGTAAATGGATCACGCATAAAATTCATCCAGCCAGAGGGAACGATCACAAACTGTTCACAGCGCAGTAGTCGTAATAGCGACACAACCCATGGTAGGTATCGGAGAGGGAATGGGGCGTACAGGGCCAGGGACAGGAGATCTCGGTGCGACCGGGCACACTGCGGACGGTCGGTGATTGTTCCCTGTGGCTGGATGAAGCACGACCTGCTGGCATTTCCTCACGTCTGGGTCATTCCAGCAAACTGTATCTGTTTCTAATGGGGTTTCCCAGAGCAGTTTTTCAGGTGTGCTGTCCCGAGTAGCCTACTTAGTGCAATCTCAGGCAGGATGGTCAGGTACATACGATTTAGACATACTGTCGCATTGAATGAAACTAACAGTTTTTACGCAGTGGCTGCTTTCCCTCCCGACTCTCCATGGCAGAAATCATTAAAACACGCAAAACCCTCATTTAAACACTGCCACCTCCATTGTGTTTGCGCCTGTTGTCATCTATGCAATAATTTTTAGTAAATCACCTACGTATAAAAGGTACTACAATTGCACACGCAATTACTGGGGATATTAGTAAATCGGGCCCTAAGTACACTTGATTGACAATACTGTACTTAAGTTAGTTTGGATTGATGGATGTATATAGTATTATTACAAAATGTTTGTTGTTTTTGCAACCAATAGACTATTGGAATATTAACTAAATACCATAGTTACCTCTTAACTGGCGTTCAACTTAACAACTCACCTGTCAGGCTGCCTTTGTCAGGGGCACTACTAACATTAATTTAGAAAATCCTTTATCTTGAGGTTGTTTCTTTTATTCTGTCCACCTTCTGCAGTGGTAGACCGAGTGGGGGATACGTAGACACATCTGTGAAAAGACAAGTACACACTTACAATGGTTTCTCTCTCCTCCAGGACCTGGTCATACTCGCTGAGGGAGGCCAGGAAGATGAGGGAGGTGACGTTTTCAAAACAGTGAATCCACTTCCGACGTTCCGACTTCTGTCCACCCACGTCCACAATCCTGTCAGGGAGCAGGGCAGAGGAAGGAAGCAGGGAACAAAGGAAGGAAGGAAGGAAAAAACATTAAGGTCCTCATAAAGGTCAGGTTTTTATTGCTGTCTGTTCAGTATTGACCTGGAACAATTAAAGGTCAACTGCCTTGCTAAAGAGTCTCCTAACAGTAACTGGCAGGGGAAGAACATGCTCACTATCACCTGCAACAAGGATTCAAACTGGCAACCAGTCAATACCAGCTAATTATGGCCGCACACTAGAGAATAATTAAAGAACAAGATTAAGAAGATTTTGGGTCAGATTCGCCCATCCAGACAATCGGTGTTCCCGATCCGAGGCCAGTCAGAACAGATTATTGGCCCAAATGATCGTGTTGTGTTAGGGGTTTACAGACATAATGTTAAGGTCACCAACTGGATTGGAGGCATACCGATTTAAATTTATGATTTGAAATCGGGAAGCCTCCAATCAATTAGTTAATTCTCCCATGTTGTTAAAATCTGTACCATGCATTATGCTCTTCAAATTGACATACATGAGTTATATGCAGGGCAGCAAGTATTTACACTGACATATTTTCTGTTATTTTGGTTCTGTACATTTCTCCCCAGTTCATCCAATATGGACGGAACAACCTCAAACTAAACTTGAAAGTCAGAGCTTTAACCTTTTAGTCATTGTTAAATGTTTCGACACTAGACAATGAAAAATAAATTGGAATGGTTATTTAATGTTGATGTGTTGAAGTTTGTACATTTTTTAGCTTTGTCTCAACGGCCTGGAAAATAAGTGAAGATGAACTCTCTCATTAGTATTTTCTCTCCAGTATTATTTGGCAACTGTTTCTGTTATTTATTCATTCTGTTGTAAACAATGAAGGTCTGAAAATTTGGTTGTGAACATTCAAATTATTTTTGTATTATTACCAAAAAATAGTCTGTATTTAATTTTGTCATCAAAGAACCAAGATTATCCTTTTCCTCAGTTCAGTTTGTTTTATTTCTGGCTACACCTTATGGATTAAGAGTAGGTGTCAGTTCATTTGGGAACACAATGTTCCTCTTAAGTTGAACATTGATCTTTGTCTGCCTAGCTGCACTCACCCCCCTCTGGTCCTGGAAAGAAATGATAACAACTGGTGTTCAAAATAAAACCAGATGCCTCGCCACCTCTCTTCCCAGCAGGGGCTTTGTACGCAAAAAGATATTTGATCCTATCGCATCCAAACAGGCTTGACCAGACAACGCCTCTGCGAGCGTCAATAGTAGCCTATTTTTTTTCACAGTTCAGTGAATAGTGTCGGTATTAGATCTGTGCCTCCTTACCTTAGTGTGATGGTCTTGATGGTGAAGGAATAGTCGTGGATGCCTGTGGTGGGGAATCGAACTCGCAGCACATCCTGTTCTGTGGGGATGTAGTCTGGGGCGGAGATGCGGTCCAGGTTATTCATGTAGCTGAAATAGAAGGAAAAAAAAGAGAGAGAAAGTTTAACTATGGTGCCAAAAAGTCTGTTTCTGACCTGTGCTAACACATTGCTGTTTACATTCCATACAGACATGTAAACCAAACTGAAGTGACACAAGAAATATGATGAACTAATGATGATAAAAGAAAAACAGTGATTAAAGATAGAAAAAGGGAGTGGAGAGAATCCATATGACCCTGTGTACAGATGACGGCTTTATGGCTCGTGTTGATAAAAGCTGTCATTAGCTAATGTTGACTGCCTGTCTCTTATCACGCATACACCATGATGATTGAGCTACTGGGTAAACACAGAAGAGAACAGCAATAGAAAAGGGAGAAAACAGAGGCAGGCTGAACCAAGCCTTTGTTCTGTGACACATCAGATACTTTGAGGGTGAGGCTCTACTATGTTGAATGTATTCAAGTTGATTACAAAGACACAGGTGTGAGGGTAACTCTGTATGATGACTTCTTATGGTTTCAGTTTAAAAGATGAGTTCTCACAGACAGGTGGCTGTTTTCCCTCAAATACTCCTTGATCAACTGGTGGTTTTAACATTGCTGAAAAACAGTACAGTTGGTAAAGAACTAGCCCCCTCCAGTGGTCTCACTGCTAAATACAAAGTAGGAAACTTATTCTAAGCACCACAATGAGAATCAAGTGTGGGGCTGAAATAAAGGCAAAAATTATTTAAACACATTAATAAAGGGATATATTTAAAAATCTGAGAGGGGTCAGAAAAAATTTTTAACAGGGCAAAAAAAATGTGGCTATACCAAGAGAGACATTTCCCATTATTTTAAGATAATGTCTGAAAAGATTTTTTCTTGAGATCACAGAAATTAACGAAAAAGAAAACTGATGTAGGACAAAATAAAAACATGCTTTCACATAATGAGAATATAAAAACACGTCACACACACACCGCTTCTCCAGCCCTCCATACTTTTTCATTTAAAAAATTCTACAGGAATAGAAGCTTAAAGGTTCAGTGTGCAAGTTTTAGTAGCATCTAGTGGTGAGGGTTGCAAATTGCAACCAGGGGCTCACAGTGCATTCACATGCTCCACAGATGGTCCCATTTCCCGAGTTGTGAAGTCGTTCTTCCGACTTCAGTGTATGTTCATGTGCTCTTAAATCGGAATATGGAATCAACATGGATGCTACTACAAAGATGTGTTGGATTATCAGAGCATATAAATGTTATGTTAGGTTTCTTCAGTCGGTGCCATTGACCAGACACTGACATAGATCTGGAGTTGATCCCCGGGCACTGCACAGCGGCTACCCACTGCTCCCTTGAGGGATGGGTTAAATGCAGAGAATGAATTTTGCAACATGTATGTTTATGTGACAATAAAGTACCTTTACCTAACATGCAGACATCTAGTTCACTCTACATGGACAGCAAACTAACCTTTATAACCATGACAAATTATTTGCAGAATATCTTTATGCAATGTCATAATTTTGTTCAGTATACAAAGTTCAGTATTCTTATTTATATTCCATGTACACTTTTTTTCTCTTTGTGCAATAAAGATTTAAGGAGGAAAAAAAGATACTGATTATTCCGACAACATATGAATGCACCATAAGTCACTGCTCACCCCTCCCTTTTCAAGCACGTAGAAGCTACGGTTGTCGACACGCTCTGTCAGCTTTGTACTACATAATACGTGTCAGGCTCAGTTTCCAAATTCCTTACTTCTAATAAACCAGACAATTTCTACTACTAGTGAAAGTAACATAAATTGTTCTTGTTCATATTCGTCTTTGTACATATTTAAAGTACATAGTGATAAAACGCACTGTGTAGAGTGTTGTTTGACCGTTTGGGCTACTGTAGAAACATGGTGACGTCCATGTAAGAGGACCCGCAGTGTATGTAGATAGAAATGGCTCATTCTAAGGTAATAAAAACATAATATTTCATTATGTAAGGTCATTATATTGCATTTCTGTCCAAAGATCCTCCTAAATATTACACAGTGACCCCTTAAAACCTGTCTAGACAGCCATGAGTTTTGGTACAAATAATGCAGTATGTCGCCACACGTTCTCTTGTGACACATTAGCTGGTACACAAATTGTAACATTATTACTGCAGTTGTACTTTACTATGGATATAGTATTTAACTTCTGGAACCGTTGTGCTTTGTGGAATTTCAGCCTATTTGGTTTATGCCTGTTTGATATTAGAATGATGTTGCTGTTCGTGTTCAAAGGTCTTATTCTTGTGCTATCAGCCCATGCAGACAGTTGTCAATTTACAACAAAAAAAATCTACTTTGATAATAACCTATGGACAAAAAGTAAGGAAATTTGTGTTTGATAGAGTATTTCTTTGTTGTAACAATGATTTTTGGCAATAAATCTTTAGCCTGTTTACGTCCCTTTTAAATGGTGCCCCATTTGTAAGGAATATGTATTTGTGGGATGAGCAACAGAGCTGAGAATGTGGGTTATGTGCTTGGTAGATTATTCTACCAAAATACTTTGGTAGAATAATTCTACCAAGTACAAATTTCCTTACTTTTTGTGCGTAGTATTGTGCGTAGTATATTTTAATTTTCAAGCAAATATATGAAATATTGCTGGTTCCAGCTTCTCAAATGTAAGAATTTGCTGCTTTTCTTTGTCTTATATGATGGTAAAATAAATATCCTTTTGTTTTGAACTTTTGGCCAGACAAAACAACCAATTTAAAGACACTAACATGGGCTATGGGCAGTTTTCATTAGGATTTTTTCAAATTTCTTTGACATTTCATAGATTGAATGATTAATAGAAAAAAATGAAATGAAATAATAAAAATATTTAATTCATAATGAAAATGAACGTTAGTTGCATAATAATTAGTAACATAATGCATGCATAATAATATACTCTTTGAAACCACTAAAACTGTTTAAAATTGTTTAATCTCAATCGTCTCTTAAGTAAAACATAATGTGCTTTAAAGTGTGCAGTAAATACATATAGAGTAGAAGATGACTTAAACTTTTTGCTCAAGTAAATCTTAGTATTTTTTTCATTTAATTTTAAGATGCTGTAATTCCCTTTATTGCAAAACGCCGTCTTTCATAGATTCCTGTGTTGTGATAACAGTTGACAACTTGCTATGACAGTGTTTAGCATGTGATACCCTCTGATTCCCAGCCCTGACTCGGGGTGTGTTACAGTGTAGAGAGCATCGGCTTCCACTGCATTACAGCTACTCACTATTCTGTGGAGTCCAGGAGCTGATACTCGCAGCGACGGCTATAACAGACCCGGATGCCCGAGTCTGCCCAGAGGCGGCGGATTGCGTCAACGTAGCCCCTCTCCAGCTGGTTGATCTGCACTGTGTTCACATCCTGCAGCCACTTGGAGTAGATCTGAAAGATAGCGAGAGACTCAGGGTGTTAGAAGATTTTGTGCTGTACTGAAACTTGAGTGTTTAATAAGTCTATTTATCTTTCATGGCAATACTGCCTGCTTCTAGACTACAACATGACTACAGTGAGTGGACTTGCCCTGATGCCCGGCCAAGGTCTGTTTGTGAGTGAATGCGTTCATGTGTAACTTGGCGCATCCGTGTGTGTTTATGCTGGTGGAGGTACGCATGCGTGCAAGTCTACCTCGTTCTCTGGGTTGGAGTAGGGGATGTTGAGTGTGGTCATGGCTCCTGTCATGGCCTTCATGGCTGTGAAGATGTTCTGGAAGATGCATTTGGAGAAGGACTTCCTCTCCTCTTCTGAGAAGCCTCGTCCGTGGATGATCCTCATCTGACGAATGAAGGTGGTTTTTCCGCTCTCCCCAGTACCTGAAGGCAACAAATGGGGTAAATAATAATTAATAAAAAAGTATTGTATAAAGTACAATTACGAGTACGGGCAGCTCAGAAGTTAGCACTGCTGCCTCAATGCATTAACGTCCTTGGTTTATCATGTTTTACCTGTGTCTTCATGGGTTTATTTCCTCCCAATGTCCAAACCTATGCAGGTAGAGTGATCTGAAAACTCTAAAATGCCCGTATGTGTGAATGTGTTTGTCATAACAACCTTAACTGTGGTTGATGGAAAAAGTGGTTTATGAAACAAATAGATAAAGACGATTTAAAACGGTTCCAGTTTTTCTAGCGCTAAATTCTGCTCATAGTGATGAACCCGCAGAGAAGTGTCTATCCCCTCATCTCTACAGAGCGCTTTAGCATATTTCAGCTCACTGTTTTTGTTTTAAGGCCCAAAACTTTACTGTTTTGGTTCAGTCTCACCACTCTCATTAACATTCTTTCCAGCAGCAGCAGACGGCTGTGACAAACACAATGTACGCTATCTGCCCAGCACCAAAAAACAGACAAAGTTAGTGACTAGCTGGTGAACATAGCACTTAACATCTAAAGAGCCAGATGTTTCCCTCAGGAGTCGGTGGAGACCAAAAACAGAGCTCAAAGTAAGTAATTATTGGACTTAAGCCTGCTTGCCAGAAACTACTCCAAATAAATGTTATTGTTGCTCTGTGTCTGCTGGATGTGTAAATAAAGAAACTTTAAAAAAAAAAAAATATGTTCACCATTTCAACTTCATAAGGCCAATGTTGTGTTTACAGCTATCCCACTGCCCCAGGTGGCCAAATAAAATCAATAAAGCAGCTTTAAGGTAGATAAATAACCCCTAATACAAAAAAAGTGATCTAGAGGGCATTGAGTCTACCTGTATATCTCAGCTGGAAGAAAGATTTGACTCAAGTTGACTCAAGTGGAAATTCATTAATAACAATGACAAGCCATCGTTGCTGTTCGTTTCCTGCTATGACGAGCCAAAATTGGCTTGAATGGCTCTGAGAATGGAAATAGTGTTACCTATGCTCAGTTCAAAAAGTTTTAAATAAAAATACAAAATGTAGGACTAATGTTTTAGAAAACATGTGTAAAACACTGCCACTGTGAGTTATGGACGGCATTGAGCTAAAAGCTAAAGAGCTAAAACCCCCAGAAGAAAAAACAGTAAATTACAACAGAGTAGGTCACTGACTGACACTGTCGATCCGCATGTTTCTCTAATCGATTTGCTCTTCACTGTTCTTTTTACAGCCTCAGAGATTAAAGTCAAAATCAAAGGAAGTACCTGTGTTAGACATAAAAAGAAAGACTTGATTTATTTTCTTTGATAGCCTCATTTTAATACAAGTGGTTTGTATCCTCACACATGTAGGCAGGCCGGCAGAGTGACCTCAAGTCATGATTTAGTCACGTTATCTGGTAGGCTATATCATTAAGTCGGTGGTAGTGTCAAAGGAAACTGCTGGAAACTGCTGAATGTTTTATTGACAGTCCTGTTCCCGTACACTAACATTTGTTTTCTGTCATTCTACAGAGTTAGAGAGGACGTACGAGTGGCCAATAATTCAATATTATTGTTTACTGTCACTCCATATCATTGCAGGGTTTCCCCCAGGAAATTGTTTAGCACAAGTGGTAAGCCCCTGTGGTGTATAACATATGTGCATTTGCTCGTTCCTAATGCATCTTGTCTTGTTTATTTAGTTTAGATTGCTGATAAAGGACTAAACAAAAGACACACTCATTAAATACGTGGGAAATAATGGCGCTGCTCTATTTCACAATATTGTTTCAAGAATGTATTAGTTTTTACAATGTAGGTGGTGATGGTAATTATTTTGGGCGAGGTTGCCCACCTTTTACAATAAAACAATAAAACAGCAGGAAAGGAGCTGCACAACTGTCATCTTAAGATGCTGCGGTAAACAGTACTGTTGAAAAAAACAGTCAGTCAAAACAAAATAAATCCACACTTTGATAATTGATTAATGATTATATTAAATTATCAGTAAAATAAATATTTACTGGTTTCAGTTTTTAAAATGTGCAAATTTCCTACTTTTCTGTGTTTTTTTTATCGAAATTTATTATCTTTGGGTTTAGGACTTTTGGTCAGACAAAAAGTAATTTTAAAAATAATCAACACATTAAAACGTTTTAACATATGATTTTGAATACTTTCATTCCATATCAACATTGAGAAACTGCACTGATAATTATTAGGGCATAAATGTTGTCCATATTGCTCTCATATAACATCTCATTATAAAACCCTGTGTTGTAAAATGATAAATAAATATACCCGCTACACTATATGGGAATATTTGTTTTATAGTATCAACCAATGCAATTTAGTGATGCATTGTTCTGTACCTCCTGTGTTCATGACTTTGTAATCAGTAACCAGCCAATTATTTTCTCAATGAATATTTCTCAATGAAGAGTATCTAGCTGCAGTCGCTTCCAGTGCAGGCTCCACTCTCAGGTCGGCTCCACTGTCAGGACAGGAAACGCAAAAATTATAAAATAAAATTGTGTTGACACTTCTATTTTGTCATTAATTTATATTTAATTGATTAGACAACATTGTAAGGTTAAAAACGATTAATTCCTTAAATCATATATATATATATATATATATATTTGATTTGAGCTTTTTCTGTCCACATAGCACGTAACGTGAGTATCTATGCCAGTGTAGCAACAACTGTATATGGATTTAATAATTCTACTAGTAATAGTATCTTTATTCATGCACTGTGAAAATAGGACATAAATGTCCATGCAGCCTAGAGACATCAATTCACAGAATAACATCAATTTAAGGTCATTGATTGAACACTGGGAGTTTAAGCCTCTCTTTCCCTTTTTTTTCAAAAAACACACACACATACACACACACTTCTCATTCATAATTTCCATTTTAAGAATAATATACTATGGCATTTGACTGCAATCAGCAGAATTTAATATAAAAAACTGACAGCTTTGGGAACTGGACAATATAGCTAGTGGACTACAAAACTGTAAAATCTGTAAAAATGAACACACATGCAACACAACCTGTATACCTGTATGGATAATTCTGTAAATATCCTAAATAGGCCTAGACACTTAAATTAAAACACTAAAAATGAAGGCCTGGGGTGGAGAGCTGCAGCGGAATGGGCGTCACAACGGGGAGCTGGCAAGGGAACCAATGAACACGGCTGGACTAAACACAACATCGGAGAGGAGGCCAATTTGACGTCCTGGAATACAGTACTGAGGTGACTTACAGCGACTCCGACCAGGACCCTGACTCTGACAACAACAAAAACATGGCGGGTTCAGGAGAGGTGTGTCAGCATTATGTTCCTTTAATCCTACTTTACCACCCATTAAAATTCTCTCTCTCTGTCTGGCAGTTGGTGGCAAAGCAAAATCAGGTCATCAGGTCTAAAGTCATCAAACCAGCTGTGAAGCACACCTGTAGGTTTCTGGGCTGAGTGTCTCCCTGTAGTTTTCACATACAAAGCCAATCCCAACTTGGACCATTCCTAACATACTCACATCACGTCACATGCTTTACATAGTTTTCTGACTTGGCTGCAGGCCACCAAACAGGCCAAGCTGATTTAATTTGTATGCAGGGTGTTTCTTATTGTCTTCTCATATTTAATTGCCATCCACCGTCAGTTTAAATCATTGTATTTTATATAGCCTATAGTTAGCAATCATTAACGTAGGCTACGAACAGCTGTGTGTGCAGTCACTGACCCAGCAGGAGGATTTTAATTTCCTTTCTCTCCTTCTTCTTCTGCTGCTTGAGGATCCTCTTGATCTCTTTGTCCACAGCAATGGTCTTCTTCTCCTCCTCGGACAGACAGCACAGACAGGTGCGGCGGCACCACGGCCAGGAGCCCGCCATGGCGAAAACCTCTGAAATGAAACTATTAACAATCAGCTGTAATGCGCCGATAAAGACAGAGAATGAACTCCTTGTCCATTTGATGGCCATTAGTTGTGTTACTTTCTACATGACTCATTATACCTGTAAAGACTTGTTCTAACACACCTGTGGTCCTCCGGAACTCTTAGGCTACTGTAGCTGGAAACAATCACTAGCTGTTTAAATGGCTTTTCACACTTTTTACAGTAACATTAGCCTATAAAGTTAATGCATACAGCGTTTTAAACTTTTAAGTTACAGACACAAAACAATAAAGCTCCTCACCTCCAGTCAGACTGTCACACTCCCTGAGAACGAGCAGGTACAGGCTTTGATTGCTTTTCGCGGTCCATTCCCCACCGTGTCCCCCGTCCACACCTGCAGCTAACAGCTACTGTCGCTAAAGCGTCATTAGTCTCTCTCTCTCTCTCTCTCTCTCTCTCTCTCTCTCTCTCTCTCTCTCTCTCTCTCTCTCTCTCTCTCTCTCTCTCTCTCTCTCCCCAGCTCTCACGAAACATCCTGCAGCTCGGGAGAGTCCCCCCGCGCCTACGGAGGAATGTGCAGCCGCTGTGGTCCGTTTAAAACTATCTGTGACAGGAATGCGCTCATGGCGACGCAGCCGCAAAGAGAGCGGCAAACAACCGCAGCAGCGCCGGAAGTCACACCGTTGTGCCCATTTAATAAAAGCATGAGGTTGCTATTTCACATTTTTCTTGGACAATTACACATAAAAGAACAATTTAGGTGATGAGTTTTAGTAATGCTGCTGGGTTTTACTGAAAATGGAATATAGTTAAAAGCATCTCAAAGACGGAGTTGTAAAATAGGTTAGACCGGGGATGGTTGTAACATTTGAGTAGTAGTGACCATAAAAATAAAATTTAACAAAATGTGGAAATGTGCACCAACTATTATTATTAGTGTGTGTGTGTGTGTGTGTGCTTGTCTTTCATGGCAGACATGGCACTCCTGGAGTGCGGGCCTCATGGGACCACACACAGAAGCCTACAGGTCTTACACTAATATTTAAACATAATAATTAAACAATTAAACGTTACTGTGTGTGTCAGACACATAGCCAACTGAAATTAAAAGAAAACATGTAAATACAACTAAACACTAAATTGTTGTTACAACTAACCCAAAATCTTTTTGTTACAACCAACCCAAATTGTTGTAGCCATAGCTCACCTTACAGTTTATGGTGCGTTCACAGACTGTGCCTGTATAGTCGCATGAGTTTAATCGCTGGACTACACGTGTGAGTGTTCCCATACAACGTGAGGATACACAGCATGGTTTACAACAGCTGAAAAAAAAAAGAGTATTTTAGCTGTGATTTAATTGCAGTAAATAACTAGGCTACATCATGATGCCGATTCGTTAAACATATGATTTTAAGTTTTGTCAGGTCCATCCACTAAATAACAAGCAAACAACCTTTAAAAAGCTTGTTTTCTAAAGGATGTTTGCATCAATCAGGGCTATGTTATGCTAACTTGTTTAATAGTGAAGTACAACAATAGCTGTATCACAAAGCAACTAAGTGGCTCTCTGCAGCAGACAGGTTGAGACCCGCTAGTGAAGACAAATCAACTTACTAACCTCAAAATTTACAAATAAAAAGATAATTTAATAAAATAATTAACACTGAGCTCCTCCTGCCTGCGGGCTCAGAGCAGAATCTGGTGCACAAAGCTACTGACAGAGTTTTTGATTTGGTGTTCTTATTAAAATATTTTGTAGGCCTACTGTGCATATAACACTCATATCGTATGTCAATGTTTACTTTGCAACAACTTCCAGTCTGTTTTCAGCCACCAAAGTCAATTTTAACTCCCGTATTACATTCAATAACAGTCCCAGCTCATTATTGGTCCATGCAAAAAAAAATCTTATGTGGTTCTTTGCCTGCATTACTTTAATTAATCTTCTGTAACTATGGAATAGACCATCTGCTTCATTTTAAGCCTGCATGCTCATGCCCAGTACGTAAACGGCCACTGGATGTGCGTTTTCAGTCGATTTAATGTAGACAGAGATCAACTAAAACGCAGCTAAAACACTGGTGGGGACTGAGATCATATTTGTTTTAAAACTCAGTTTTTAAAGAACAACGGACTAGCCTACCGCACAGTCTGTAGTGTGGATGGGTTCTCAGTAGCCTATCTTTCAGTCGGCGGTAGGTAGGCCTATTGTCCCTCCACTCTGCCTCGTCCACTCCACACAACAGTCGGAAAAGTTTCACTTACTGAAGCAAATTAAGCGTGCATGTTCACGTCATTCGCGTCGCTCATTCGCATTACCTGGCAGGAAGAATTCGCATTTATTTGCCTCTTTGCATTGACTTGGTATGTAATCCTGAAACGCTAGCTTTGCGTGGGCGCACTGACAACTAGCATTTAAGATATCTAGATAGATAGACACACATTAAACATGATTTAAGTTCAGTGAGTTTAACTGCAAAGCAGGTAATGCTATAATAAGTTTTAAAATAACTTTTTACCTTCTAAAATTGGCTTTGCCTGTCACAGGGGGCTACTTTTTCCCATGTGGAATAAGGACTAAACTCAACAGAGTGAATCAGTGATTCATAACTTGTTCCTGAGAAATTTTACAACTGACCCCTGTTACAACCATCTCTGTGTCCCCTATATCCTCATTAATTATGTTTTATATTATTCTTTTCTTCTTTTCTCCAGTACAACTCTGGCTAACAGATTAAGTTTTTACATGCAAAACACATGATCAATTTGTAAAATATGAGGCATGTCCTTAAATCTTAATCTTATTTTAAATCTTAATCTTAAACATAATTTGCCTTTACTATTAGGCTAGTTATTTTTAACAGCTGTAAAAAAAAAAAAAACACGCCAAAAAAGCTATGACATCAATGATTGCATTGTGACCAAAGGTGCAACACGCGTAGGTTGACTCCATGCTGGTTATAGTTCAGAAGACAGTATGTTATTCTTTGTTGATACTGAACTCTCCTCTGGCACAATGTTCAAAAGTAAACAAGCTGGTCACGAGTTTTACAGATGGATTCATGGATGACATGAATATGACAGAATAGCTACGCAATGCTGATTGACAGAAAATTAATAGCCCACGTCTATGGCTGAATGTTTCATGCTGTCTTTGATGTTTGACACTGACATGAAAACACCAGTATGATACTATGCTCCCCGCGACCCGACCCCGGATAAGCGGATGAAGATGGATGGATGGATGGATGCTATGCTGACACTGTATCATTCAGATTTATTTATTATTTAAACTTTCAATCATATAGTTACTTAGTTATTTGGGGGCTTATTTCTGACACCGATGATGGACTGACTAAAGTACAAATCATGTTTCATGGAAGAATCATCGAAACCCTTTAGCCTACATGTGGTCCATTCTACAGGATATAAAGTCTAACTAATGGCAGATGCTACCTGCTACCTATTTATTTATTTGTGTTGCTGGTGTTGTTGTTTTTTTTGCATTCTGTATCTGTTATTCTATTGCTGCATGTGTTTGTGTTTCAACTAAAACGTTTCTCATGGTCAGAAAGCAACATTATTTTGAAAAACTTCTACCGGAAGTTAATATTCTTTCTTTCAGCTGGATTTGACAGCAGCATGAATGAGTGGGCTGCGCTGCGGATAAAGTTTCGGCTGAGGCTTCCCTGCTTATGTTTCAGCTAAACTGGAGTGAAATCACGGCCCGCAGGAGTTTTACTGAATTATTATTTACTACATGCTGAAAGATACAATTTTACATTCCATCAGGAATCTTCACAGACATCCACCAGGTTATGTTTGGTGTACATTTGGAAACTTTACTAGTTAATCTTAACTAAAAATATTAAACTTTCATCTGGTTATAAAAAATATAACAGCTATGTAAAACACAAACAGCTAAATTATACACTCATTACATTTGTAATAAAATATACTAAGTGATCCAATAAAACACAAGCTCATCGCTGACAAACACATGCCTGTAGGAATCATACGTCATACATCAAGTATAAAGGATGGAAAGAGTGATCCCCTTGCAAGTGTTTTCCTAGCTGAGATGACATGTACAGGCATTTTGTCTGTCCTCCTCTGCTGCTATTCTGATGTCAATCTTTTGTCTCAGCCACCCGAACCGGTTGGTCCAGGCTTTCAGGTCTCAGATATTGAGATCACTTGATCCACTGCCATGGAAACAAGTGAGGTGAAAGAGCAAGAGAGGTGTGCATGGAGGGGTCTTGTTCGTGTTATAGGCCTATAAGTGTATAAAGTTATAGATCTACTACATGTATATTTCATGACACTTGGTTAACTTTGTTTTACAGAGGTGTTAATCCTGTAAAAAAACAAAAACAAAACAAGGCCCTTTGAGATGGGCCTACTTGTGATATGTTTTGTGGCTTAATGACAATTTATTGTTGAGGATACTTTTGTATTTAATTCACATAGAAAGTTTGTTTACATGAATAATGTATATAATATTGAAATGAACTAAGTAAGCACTGGGGAATCCTGCACAGCAAGACGGTGTGTACTGACACTAACAGGATTGTATCTTTTTAATGTTTTCAGTTACAGGAAGGTTAGATATCTGAAGACATCAGAAGTGAGTCTCCAAGAATGATACAACACATTGTCTAATTAGGTCTGCTCTGTAGGTCTTGAATCATCTTGTGGATGAATCCTCATAGGCAGCCACAGTAGCAGAGAGATCAGCAGGAAGGAGAGCGGGGGGGAGATGAGACTTTGTCCCCTGTTGCTGGCTGCTGTGGGAAACAGAGGATGATCAATGATTAATCTGACAACAGCCGTCATCAGACGCTGACATGAGGGAGACGATGGAGACTCTGCAGTCTGTTTCCTATCATGTTAACCTCACTTCTAAGAACAAATTGACTTATGCAAACTGTCGTTAAGCAAGAGTAATCACTGAAACTCAATTGTTCAAACAAGATTTTTAAGCATGATTGTTTTGGGGGAGTACACTAACTAAGAATGCAACAAAATCTTTCAAGACATTTGCTCATGCATGTCAGAGGTAGAGATGAAGTGTCCAGCTTATGCCAGTGGTTCACATCCTTGTTGGCTTGTGTCCTCTTTAAATAAAGAGGTGAGCCCTCAGGTTCCGTCTGCATATGAATTGTGAGCAGTTCCACCAAAGAGTGAGTAAGTAAGTAAAGTATAGCACCTTTTTAACACAGGTTTCAAAGTGCTGTACAATATGAAGCAGAAACTAACTAAGCTAACTTAAGATAGTGGGGTTTTTAAATGTTTTTTGAAACAGACCTAGCTGATCTAATGAGGGAGGAAGATTGTTCCAGAGCCTGGGTGCTAGGACAGTGACTGCCTGCTCAAGAAAAAAAAGGTGGAGTTCTCTCCTGCTCTGTTTTTCATTTAGCAACCCCTCACATTCATCTTGTTGGTAGTCTCCCACCTC